GGCGGTGCGGTGCCCCACACCTTCTCTTCTCTCTGTGTCTTTGTCTCGTCCCCTGCCGCAGATCACTTTGGCACACCACCACAAGCAAAGGCAGCAGCATCATCAGGAGTTAAGAGGTAAGTACGTGTGTCTGTTGTTGGTGTTGTGTTCCGTACATGCGTAGGTGTTTCTCTGTATTGTTTCAGTCACACTTTACATTCGTGCCGCCCTCCTCAGGTTCCCGGCGGGTGCGACTTGGACTGACTGGCAAATGTGTTGGAGTATCACCGCCTCTCGACAGTAAAGCCACAAAGAGCAGCGGTAGTGGGAATAGCGAAGAGTGTTCCCGGCGCTTCAGTGCCTCTGAGGTGGTGAGGAGCTCCTTGGTTGGCCGCTGTTTTCGACAGCCATCCAGACGCCGTGTCGGCCGCCAAGACCCCGGTGGTGTGGAGGTGGTGCTGACCCCGTCCTCACTGCTGCGGCGGCTGCAGACCATTTTTCCTCCTGCACCCACAACAAACACAGCGATGGCAGCGGATATGGATCGAAGGGAACGGCCCCGTTCGCTTTCTGGCGATACTGAAGCCGACTCACTGTTCACCCAATCCCCGCCCCTTGTCCTTCCAGCCGGAGTGCGAGCATGCTGCCTGCCTGTGGCGTGGGAGCGTGTGGTGCTCCGCCGTGTGGGGGCTGATCCACTTCCCGGCAGAGGTAGCAACGCGGGGTCGGTCGTGCATGTGACCCCAGCGGTGTATGACGTCTACATTCCTTCGTCATGTCTTCTGCCGTCTTACACTGCGAGAGAAACACGTTCAGCCGCAGCATCAACACTAACTTCGCGAGATGCTTGCCAAATTCGGTTCCGGGACACTATTTTAACGCAGGGCCGCGTTTGGCTTCAGCGTGTCGGCGTGCTGCATCACATACCAGGGCTGCCGGACCCCGCTGCTGTGTCGCTGAGCCTGCGCGACTACGTAGCGTTGCTGATGCAGCACGAAGGAGAGCCGGTTCTGCATTGTCTGACCACCCGAGGGCTGAACAACCGCGACACAGGTCTCCATAGCGTGCGACAATGCCTCGTTAAGGAGAGGCTGTCACACCTGCGAGAGGTGGGGAACAGCAACGCTAACAGTGAGGGTCTTTATGGCGGCGTGGGTGTGTGGATCATTCACCCGTGGCGTGAGTGTGTCTTCTTTGCAGTGCGCTACAGTGCCGGGACCGACCACTACGAGTGGCTGTGTCACCCTCGCTATACATTGTTCCCGGGCGCCACTGCTGCTCCGGATGTTGGGCAAGAGGGGTTGCCATCGCGACCGCGGAAAGGGCGAAGGGCGGCGGCGGCAGTGGGGGCAGAGACTGACGGCACATCACTGCTGTCGTGGGCGCGGGCGTCATTGGAGATGGCGATGATGCCACACCGACCACCACAGGGGCAGCGCGGCACGCCCAGCTCGGCGCTGCCAACTGTGATGTATTATTGCGCCGCTGGCGTGGCACTCACAGCGGAGGAAAAGGCTTCGTTTGTGACGCAGTTGCTGGGCGACACGGGGGCTGGCGGTCGGCGCACAGACGCACCGCCGACGTGTCCCCACAAATCACACCGCAGTGGCGTGAAGCCGCGGCAGCAACAGCCGCAGCGAGGTAAGAGTAAAACAGAAGAAAATGACTTTGGGGATGGTGGTGTGTTGCGATGGGCGAAGGTGTGGGCCCCGCTGCCGCGGTCAGCACGGCTGCTGCGTGGGCAGAGGCTACCAGACAACCCAAACGCCCTCGCCGAAGCATTGAAGTACGGTCGGCTCTGCATTCTGCACTGAGTCCGCCGGGAGCAATACTATCCACAGGAGCGGCGGCAACACACGCACACGCACACACGACTCACACGCATGGGGTGTCTGCTTTTTCTACGCGCTGTCTCTCGCTCAGTGTGTGTGTTGATTCTCTCTCATTTCCAGTGGGGTGGCTTCGCAGCACCCGCTGTTGCTGCAGTCAACGCGGCTCATTGGCGACCCCGTGCGGACTACGTGGGCAATTATTCCGTTTGTGATGTCTAGTTGTTTATTTGTTGTTGTTGTTTTCAAATTATTCCTTCCTCACAGCTCGTTATGTTTTCTTTGTTTCCGGCGCGCTCCTTTTTGTGGCTCCGCATGTCTTTTAGTATTGCGTGAATCATCACATTTGGCACGTCTGCCTTCCCAACGCAGGTGGGGGTGCGCTCTTTGGCTTCTCATTTATGGATTTATTACTGTTGCAGCCGCTGTTTTGTTTGTTGCCACGTGCGTCTGTGTGGCGTTGGCGCGATGCATCCTTGTGTGTCCCTGTCTGTCTATCTGTGTGTGTGTGTCTGTGTGTGCCGAGGGCCTCTGGTGTTGTTCTTTTCTCGCCTCCGTCGACGTAGATGGTGAAAAGCTCCAACCGCGTGCAGCGCAAGCTTGCAAAGAAGCATGCGCGTGCCGCTACACAAGAAGAAGGGCAGCAGCAGCAGCAGCAGCAACGCGGCGGCGGCGGGGGCGGTGTGAACGCGGAAGACCGACGTGCGAAGCCGCCGCAGCGGCTCAAGCAGCAGAAGGCCAAGAAGGACACCAGCAGCGGCCGCCACGGCAAGTCAGCCTCATCGACAACTGTTCTTCAAGAGGATCGGCACCCACGTAGAACGCAGGGCCCTTCCAAAGTCAAAAAGACGTCCGCGAAGAAGAGCAGCGGCGGCAGTCTCCAGAAGGATGAGCATCGCCGCGTCGCCGTCAAACTTGTCGCACGCGAGCAGCAGCAGAAGAGTCGTATGACGGTGGCGGAGTCCCGCATGGAGGCAGCAAAGGAGGAGCTGGCGTTGTTTGACCATGTCGTGCAGCTCCCCGACTTTGCGGCGAACCCGTTCCTCGCGATTGAGGGGCACCTCAACGACACCATGGCATTCCTGCAGCCGCAGACACCCGACGTGGGCAGGCGCAAGCGGGAGGAGTAGC